CGCGCAGTAAACACCGCCCGCTCGTTATGGACAGCGACTATTTGAGCTGACGTTCATCGGCTCTGACACTCCCTGTCGTCCCCCCCGACGGCATCGTACGGCAATTTTGTCGTACGACTGTCGTACGGCGTCAGCCTGAGGGCTCTTCCTGTCGCGGCAGTGTAGCGGCAGCTCATCCAGCCTCAGTCGAATCTATCAGACGGCCAGCGCGAGCAGGGTCAGCCCCTCCCAGCAGTCCTGCAGGGGCTCAACGGCACGCCAGCGCACTCACCATGTCGGCGTGCGAGGTTGACCCGCATAACGACCCGACTCTCTATGCCAAGTACCATGTCCGTGGGAAGTTGGGCGCCGGCACGTTCGGCAAGGTGGTGCTGGTGCGGGAGAAGGGCAAAGGGCCGGCGGGCCGTCTTTACGCAGCCAAGGTGCAGGACTTCTCGACCTGCCGGGAGGGTATCCCTGTCCACGCGGTCCGCGACGTGGTGAGGTTGGGAGGCAGGGAGGGGGGGAGGGGGTGTGATGTGTGGCGGGTGTGGATGTGTGTGTGGATGTGTGTGATGCAGGCCATTTTGAGCAAGATGAAGCACGAGAATGTGGCCAAGGTGTTCGAGGCGTGGGTGTCTGACGAGGAGGGGCGGCTCTACATGGTCATGGAGTATGCCTCCGTCGGCGACCTCTTCAGGTTCCTCCGCCGCAGCTTCCCACCGGTCAGCAAACCAGCAAACAAACGAAGGAAACCGACGGAGCCGACGGATGGACCATCGTGTGGGTATGTGTGTGTGTGTGCTGTCATGCATTCGCGAATGCAGCGAAAGGTCAAAGTGGATCGTATTCTGCCGCCCCAGCAGGTCAAGCGCTATATGTTCCAGGTACCCAAGGGAGAGGCACACCCAGCCTGGGATGCCCCCCATCTGCTTTGTGTGTGTGTGCTGGATTCCTTGGACAGCTGCTGCTGTCGTTGGCCCACGTCCACTCGCACCACATCGCCCACCGCGACCTCAAACCCGCCAACGTGCTGCTCAACAAGAGCACGGCACCTGGACGGTATGCGACATTTCCCCCCAGCCACACGCGTCAACCCACACACACCACACACACACACAATGTGTCCGTTTACGTGTCTGTATGGATGCAGTGAGAAGTTGTTGTTGACCGATATGGGCCACGGCCGTCTGCTCGACAGCCTCGGCGCCCCGCCCGTCCGACACACCGTAAACACCGCACTGACCCAGCGGCGCCAGGTGTCAGAGACACGTGTGAATCCGTTGTGCCCTTCATCAGAACCCGAATGCGTTGGGGACGCCATCGTATAAGGCGCCCGAGATGGTGCTGGGGCAGCGGACACACGGGACCGCCGTGGACATCTGGGCTGCTGGTATGAGGGCGGGAGCGAGGGACTCACACATGGCACCTGAAGGATGCTCATTGTGTGTCTGTCTGTGTGTGTGTGTGCAGGGTGCATACTCGCTGAGATGCTCGGATGCCGTCGCTCGCCCTTTGATGTGAGTCAGCCACTGGCCGACCCATAAGCACACTCACACAGCCACAGATAAGTGTGTGTCTGTGTGTATGTGTTGCAGTGTCCTATGGGTTCCGACTACGGGTCGCTGATTAAGATGATCGATTTGCTGGGGCTGCCGCCGCACAGCAGACTGCGGGCGCTCAACCTGCCGCTGTATAACTCACACGTAGGCCAACACACGACACCAAAGCACCACACAAAGCACAAACAGGAGTCCGTCCGGCTCTGTGTGTCTGTGTCTGTCTGTCTGTCTGTGTGTCTGTGCAGTGCCGCATCCTGCCGCGGATTCCGCAGCGCAGCAAGGCCGAGGTGCGCACCAAGTTCCAGAAGACCCTGGCCGAGGGCGAGAACGGCGTGACCATCACTGACGATGAGTTCGACTTCCTCTATGAGTGAGTCAGCCCATCAGGCACCCTCCCTCCCGCCCATGGCTGCATTCCTCTGTCAACTGTGTGTGTCAGTCTGATTAGGTTTGACCCCGCTGAGCGTTTGACGGCGGCGGAGGCGGTTAACCACCCCTACTTTGACGATCTGGACAAACAGGTACCCAGCCAGCCCACACCAATCCACACCAGCAGAAGTGCACCTATCCCTCACACGCCGCCCCTCCACCTCTCCTGGCCCATGTGTGTGTGTGTGTGTGTTGGGTGTAGGAGTTTCAGCACTGGGCGGCTGACGTCGGCGGCCAGTTCATCGTAGGCGGCCAGTTCATCCAGCCCTACACGCCGCGCATCGAGGTGGAGCCGGTCTATCGCGAGCCGCCCTCCATCGAGGCGCCCCACGCACAGACACCTCCCCCTGCTACACCACCCCCTGCTGCCATCGCTGCCGCTGCCGTCGTCCCTCTTGCTGCTGCTGCTGTGCACGAGCAGCCACAGGACAACGGCCGCCGATACCACATGCGCCCCCGGCGCAATAAGACGCGGGCGGCGCCGAGTGCTGCGGATGGCGGCGTGCAGCACGGTGAGGGCGGGGGGGTGGCGGGCGAGGCCAAGAAGGGCCGTCTGCAGGCGGACAAGGGACAGGACGGTGGGGCTAATGAGGTGGAGAGGAAGCGTAAGAAGCGCAAGCTGGGCTAACTGCCCCTGGCGCACACAAACCACAGCAAAAGTGTGAATAGCTGCGTACACTGAGCTGCGTGGTGGATGGGATGTAGCAGACGAGGGGAGGGGACAATGGCCGTGCATGATGGACAAATGGATGGATGGACAAACTGATGGATGGATGGGCGACACGGACAGACAAACGGGATGCATACATACAGACATACATGGCATGGTGTGCGGTGCGTGATGTGTGAAGCTGCTCGAGAGCGTGCGGCAACCTTCGTGGGGACACGCCAGCCTTAATTGGGTTACAGCTGTGGTTTCTCAAACCCTGTAGCTTTGGCAATATGTGATCCGCACTTGACAAATTCTGTCCGCATTTGGTTCCCCCCATGTCCAGACGTCTCTACTCATCGTTGGAATCACCCCAGCAAGCACCCATAGATAGACCGACGCACGTGCCAGGGGCGCAGTGTCTCGGTCGAGACAAGCAAACAGACAGACAGGACAGAACTTGAAAGTGCGTGTGTGTGGCGCGTGCAATGAGTGCATTGAGGCGTGCAGATCGAACGAGGCAAGGACACAAGCGAGCGGCTCACGCCGACCGGCTGGCTGGCTGGCTGTCGGCATGCACACGTGCACATGAGTGCGTGGACCATGCAGGAAACAAACAGCTCAATCGACTGCTGACGAACAGGCAGGCAGGCAGGCAGGCAAGCAGACAGGCATACAGGCAGGAATGGGTAGCTAGCGGGCATGGAGGCTGTCTGTGAGTGCCATCTGAGCTTCGCTCGACTGCACCAACGATCCAACCCACCCACCCACCCGACCGCCCGTCCATCCATCCATCCCAGGAAAATGACATAGGAAAACTGATACACATGACTGCCATGGTGCTATCCAGGTGCGTACGTATCTGTGCAGAAACGAGGAAAAGGGCAATCAATTGGAAAAGGGAGAACATATCATTGATCCAATGATGAATGGTATGGAGAAGTGTGTGACCCGAGTGGATGGAGTGAGGCAGTGGGTGGGTGGGTGAGTGGGTGGGTCGGTGAGGCCAGGCTACAGGCAGGTGGCTGGCTCGTGGGCACGTTGTGTGTGTGTTTGTGTGGGTGGGTGTGTCCGCAAATATGCACTGAGGATAGACAGACACACGATGGTGATGGGAAAATGTCATGTGTGGGAAAACTGCCTGAACGAGAGAGAGAAAACTGCGCTGGTCGCCGTTCGATGACGGCGGCGCAGCTACGTGAGCGCTAGGTAAAGAAAAAGCAGCACATGCACCCGCCCATCCGTCCTTCTGGCTATCCATCCATCCATCCATGCGTGCTTAGTGAGAAGATCTTCCTAGCCATCTCACTTAGCCTTCTTGATTGATTGCGGTCTTGGCGGAGTAATATCTTGTCGGAGCAGCGCCGCCGATCCCATCACGTCAGGTCTGCACACACACACACAGACACACACACACACGTATGTGTAACAGACCAAGAGAAACATCATATTTTGCTTTTGTCCATCCATCATTCGATCGCACAGACCTGATGAGTGGTCGCTGCTCGCCCTTCTCTGCCGATACCCACACCACACCACACCTCGATCCCCCGGTCATCCAGTCAATCAAGACTGTAGGCAGGTATCGTATCAAGACAGCTCGCCAGCCGGCCAGCGAGTCAGTCAGTCAGTCAGTCAGCCAGAAGCGCTATAGAAGTCGGATTCCCTAGGTCTTAGAGGAAAAACAAACAGACCCTCAGTCACGAGCGTTAGCTAGGAGTGGGTATCCACGCACAACTGACGGCCAGCCAACACAACACGGACCCAGGAAGGAAAGCAACAGCAACCAACCGACCGCAGCACGTAACATACAGACTCTGATTGATGAGGAGAAAAATGGCGCGTCGCATTTCACTTCACCACCACCGGTCCATCCATCCATCCATCCATCTGTGATCTACCTGATTGACTGAGGCATGAGTCGTGTGGAAAAATGCCGGCCTTCTATGCGCTTCCTTCCCCTGTCTAGCTTGCCGAGAACCATCGAGTGAGAAGATCAGCCAGCCAGCCAGCCAGCCAGTGAGTGCATCCATACCATCCATACCTGCTGCCTGCCAACCGTGTGAGTGTGAGGCACCGTGAGCGCCCGCCTGCCTGCCCGTCTCCTGCCTTGCCTGCCTTCCTTGCCTGCCGACATGTCATGTGTCCGTAATGCACAATGTCAACGCACAGCACACCGCCGCGCCGCACCAGTGGAGAGATAGCTATTGAAAGCACCCGCCTGCCCGCCTGCCTCCCGCACACACACCCCTCCGCCATCCCGTCCCCCATCTATCCATCCATCCATCCCAAGCATTCGCCCCCACCCCACACGAACGCATCATTTGGTGTCATGAAGGAACGACAAGCGCACGGCACACACGCGCAGCAGGCACGGTGGATATATCGATCCGACTTGGTTGTTCGTCGACGCAGCTCGCTTCACTGCATCCGTCCAGACAGCGATTAGAAACAAACCGTCACAAACTGCTGCAGGGGAGGGGAGGGAAGGGACACCACAATTACATTACAGACTAATGCAGCGAGCGGGTAGATGAACAAGTGAATGAATGGGACACACAACGTCGCACGCGCACACACGATGAGGGAAAAAAACGAGACGAGGCGAGATGAGACGACAGAGGCAGCAGGGAGGGAGTGCTGAGGGAGGGAGAGGGCATCATATGCTTAAACTCAACCAGTGAGGGAGGGAAAATGCATTTGTCAATAAATTGATCCGCCCGAATGTGTGCAGTGCTTTCATCAATGAGTGCTCCAGCTGCAGTGCGTGCGCCATTCCACCGACGAACCAATGCCCACACACAGACAGACAGACAGACACGCAGAGGCAAACAACCGCCCAACCGCAAAGCACACAAGACAGATTTGCGGTGAAGGACCGAGAAGAAGAAAAGGCCATCCATCGGCCCGAAAACAGTCTACGCCACGCAGCCCGTGTGTTAATTCCCCTCCGTCTCTCCCTCCCTCCCTCCTTCCCGGTGTGTCAGCCGGAATCTGACAGAAGCGGGTGAGGTGACGGACGAACGATGCATCAAGCAAGCATGTAATGGTGTGGTATGAGCGCACGTGTGCACTCCAAAACAGAGCGGCGGGTGGTGGGTGGGTGGGCGTGAGACTCCAGCCCAAATCGAGAGCCTTACACCCTACCTCCCTCCCTCCCTCCCTGCCCATCTTGTCTGTCCCCTCCCTCTCCCTCTCCCCGGCCCTCACACACAGCAAGCAGACAGATGCAGCACACGCACAGCACCCACCCACCCACCCACCCACCCGGTGTGTGTCTGAGTGTGTCCATCGAACGCCAGTCGTGTCGTGTCGGTCACCTCTCTCAACAGACAAACGAATAAATCCCTAACTACCTTACTCGTCCCTCACCTCACCCCCCTCCCCGCCTGCCTGCACTCCTCCCTCCCTCAGAATTGATGCACATCTACTTGCAGCCAGCCTACCTGCCTGAAGGCCCGCTCCCCACCCACCGCAACACCACCGCAATGATTGCATTGCTGTATGGGTGCCAGCGATGGACGAACGGGTTGGTGTGGTGGACGACATGCACGACCAGTCATTGCAAGTACTGTACTGGTTCCCCTCTCCTCGCTCCTCCCTCAGCATGCCTGCCCTGCAAGAGTGCGCGAGTGCCAAAACCTGGACATACATGGGGACATGACATGGACGGACACAACCGAGCGACACGCGAAGGGAGGGAGGGATGCACACAGACAGACAGAGCACCTGTCCACCTGTCTGCGCGTGTCTCTCTCTGTCTGTCTGTCTGTATCTCAGTCTGTCTGTCTGTGTGAATGTGTTGAGAGGTGCCGGTTCAGGTTGGGCGAAAAAAGTGACCGACCCGTCTGGCGATCGATCGATCGATCGATCGATCGATCGACACTTCCATCATCCGTCCGTCCATCCATCCATCCCTTCTGCCAGCCAAATGACACCCCCAGTGAGTGACATGCACACGCATCCGCACTTAGACAGCACGGCACAGCACGACACAGCACGGCTGTTAATTAGCACAGACAACACATCACGGACGGCATGGGGTGCTCATGCGTGCCTCCGTCCGTCCGTGTGGGCCGAGAGGTCTGGTCCCTGCGCCATCCATCCATCCATCCATCTGACCCGCCCGCCCGCCCGCCCACGCCAGGCGTGAATTGGACACGCTCAGTGCATGGGCAGCGACGGCACATGACAGCATGGCAGGCACGCACCCACACCCACCCAC